GTGCCAGTTTGACTAGCTTCTTTTAGGCTCACACTGGGTTTTAAGCTGGATCCATGTGCATGACTGGCAGTGCATTTGTTGGGCCAGATCTAAGGAGCCAGAGAGCGTTCAGCTCCTTTTTGCCTACAAAAGAGCAGCCAGACAACCAGCAAGAGGCCTTGGATGTAGCACAAGGTGATACTTACTTAGTCAGCCATTCTTTTTTTTCTTATAGGTTTTTCTTTTTAAGTAAACTAAGAACTGATCAATTTCACAATGAAACAAGGAATTAAATTATCAAATGGATTATCTTTCCAACGCCCAAATGTTTTCTACCACAAATACTGTATCACAGGAATTTAAGGTTTTTCAAAACACAGTTGTTTGTTTTCAAATTTAAAAACGTGTTTCTTCAAAAAAACACAGCATTGGTTTCCATACTAGAGGCAAGTTCTCCCATTATGTCTCATCTTTCACTAAATGGAGCAGTATTGGTATTACACTGCTTATAGCTCCTCTAGTTTTAGACTTTGACAATAATTTTAATTCTGTAGTCAAGGCCACAAGGTTTTGTTTTTTTCTTTGTTTTTAAGAGTGATGTTATGAGTATACGTAAAATACATCGATGTAAAATATTTTCAAACTGCATTATTCATTGGGAAGAATATAGAAGTGGCTCCAGCTACCTGTTCTGAAAACAGAAAATATACAGAATATTTACATGTCTGTTTTCCTTGGTGATCACATTTTGCTAAGTCACATGTCTAAATAAATACTAAAATCCAAAACTTCTACTATTTTGTTTCCATTAGGTATATCCTGTTTAGTAATTCATATTTTGCTCGTTACCTGTGTATTTTGAGCTGTTCTGAAACTTCACTACAGAGTACCAAACATAAATGTAATCCCTAGGGTGATCAAAGATATAATCTGACCAGATGGGACAAACTTGAGAAAGATTTTGACTTTCCACTCTGTTTTGCAACAAGAAAGGCTGATTTTTTCCCCCTCCTTTCTTTGTTATAAAAGGCAGAGATCAGGCCATCCCCAGAGAAATGAGCAGGTGTGGCCATTTACAAGCATGTCTGGTTATATTATAAACCAGCATAAGAAAAGTTTGAAATGGTTTGAAAAGATCTGCTAAACAGTTTTAATGTTTCATCCCAAATCCTATTTACTCAAACAAGAGCCGATCAAGGTCACAGTAAAAACCCAGCCTGCCCAAACCTTTAAACATCTTGTAATTTTATTTTTTTATTTTTATTCTGTGTTCTGTAGCAAGTGAATAGGTACATTTTGGTAATCCTCGCCTCTGGACAAGCACAGAATTCTTTTTTCTTTCTGAATGGCTAATAACAGAGCCGTTCTTCCTGTCTAATGATGAAAGGGGTGGCAGTCAAGTTCTTTTTCTTAGCTGTACTATGTAATCGGGGCATACCATGGACAATTTTGAGTTTTATAGCTACGTGAATTGCCATCAGTGTTCAGTAGAGTTATATTTTAATTTTGTTTAAGAAGCCTATAACTGATTTTAAAATCATGTTCTTTTCTTTTTTTTTCTTTTCTTTTTAGATCCGTCATTAAAGATTTTTGGACGTTGCAAATAATCTTTTTTTTAAAAGATCAAACAAATGCAGTTTATAGTGTTTTTATAGAGAAAAACAGTTTTTGTGTAATTATTATGCCTGACCACATAGCACTCAGAGAGCAACTAAAGGTCTATCGAAGCATTTATTGAGAATGAGAAAAAGAACATAAATGTTAAAAATATAGATTGAATGAACTGTATTGGTGGGGACTGGTTCCTCCCACACAGGACATTAGCATTCTAGATATTTTAAAGTTGGTCACCTCTAATTTCTCATGCTGCCGAATGACATCATTGGAGGGTAATGATCTCGGCAACTCGACTGACAGTGTCTCACATTCTAATTCACCTTCACAAATCCATGGCATCATTTTTGGCCAAAGCAATGTCAGTCACTGACATTTGCGGCAAGTACAAAAAGGACCCCCTAATGGCAGCCATTTTTATTTGTTTCTTAAGATCCAAAGACTGCTGAAAGAACAATTGGATAAAGTTGAGGATTGGAGAAGCTTGATTTTCTTGTTCCTGTGAAATGAAACTCCAGTCCTTTTTCTTCCCTTTCCCCTTAAAAGCAGAAGTCTGCTAGGGGGTTGTAGCTGTGTCAAAGCCGTTGGGATGCCACTGCTGATCACTTTAATTACTAGGACTAAGGAGGATAAAATTAAAAGTAGCACCATTGAAGCAGTGGAAGAAAGCTTGCCGAGATGTCGGTGAACTGTGAAATATAAAAATTGCATACCAATACATTTTTATAGGAGGGAAACAAGGAATTACATTACTTATTCTTGAAGAGTTTGTCCTTAAATGGTGAAGTTTTACTTGCTGTGCATCCATGTGGCAGATTTTTAGACCATTACAAAGTAATTGGGGGAAAATAACAGAGTAAACTTTTATGTCTCTCTGGCATGTCAGATACATGACAGAGAAGTGAAAGCTTCACCTAGTTTTCTCTTTAGTATTGAAGAGTTTCTAGCATATATTGTTGTATCTGAGTTTTCAGGTTCCTTTTTTCCCTTGTAGCAAATTATTTGTTTTTGAAAAAAATACAGTTTTTGCAGCCCCCCACCTTTTTTTTTTTAGAAGAGTTAATAAAGATATTAGGTAGGAATCAAGCTGTAAGTTTTAATGTAATTGTTTTTTACCTTGTAACTTTTATAATTATTTGATACATAGCTTCTATGTGCTTTAAATCATAGTGGTTCTCCACAATCGCTTCATCCCTCAAAGCTTGGTAATCAACAGTTCAAATACATGTGTTGAGTTTAAGCTATAAATATGCTGATTGCCTTAATCAGCACAAACACAAGCAACAACCATCAGTGTTTGCACTAAGATACCCAGGATGCTGGTGACTATGTTAATCATTCAGGGATAAGAGTTCTTTCTTTAAAAAAAAAATTCAACCTACCCTATTGTAGGATGTTTCTTTCCTAAAGTACATGGAGCCTGATATTGAATCTATCATTGGCTGTAGTAGATTTAATTCTGCCATATGAATCTTCCATATTAAATTGCTTCCTTACCTTAAAAACGTGTTTTAATTTAATTTAAAACCATAAATTCATATATGTTTGGATCAACAAATCTGAAACATATGAGCAGTTTTACTTCACGTAAACTCAGATTTAATTAATGTTGCCAAATACAGTGGTTGAAATAAAATTAGTTGCTGTGTCAGTTGGCTGGCTGTAAATGAAATTAAATTGATATAGTCCATGGAAGATACAGAAGCTTTCTAGCTTTCTTTCTAGTGTGTACTTCAACAAATAAGTTTTTGATAGAACTGTTGCTCTCTGCTATCTGGGAAGTTAAGGGGTGAGAAAACAAACAAAGCAAATATGCCATCCTGCTGAAGAGCTCACAGGGCCCAAGCAAAATTGTCTTTATAGTGTTAGGACATTAGTAGAAAAGTAAATCAAGGCAATCTGATAGGGAACCAGAATTCTGTCAATCAGACTCAAGATATTGTGCTGTGTCCATATGCTTTGTTTACTGTAGGGTTTTATGAGTTGTAACCTGCCCATGCAAGCTGTTAATGAGGCTAAATCTTGCTGCTTGAGGATTGAATTACAGCACACCTCTGGGCTAATGGTTATAAACAGAAAGTCCCATTAGGGCTGCATTCTGATTCATTCATTTGCATTTTTTCTATTGTACCAAGAACAATGATGAGTAAATAGCTACAAACAAAAAATTTACATGGAAATAGATAAAATGTACCTAATTAGTATTTTGTGCTTGTTTTATTAATGATTGCTTAAACTAAATAACACTTTGTAGCAATCTTTTACAAACATTTGCAGGTGTGGAATGTCCAATTCCTTGTTTAATGGGAATGGTGTTTGACATTCATTATAAGAAAATTGAGTTACAAGTACTGCCTTCCAGAATTAGGTAGTTGTTATATTCAACCTAGTTAAGGCCATCTGCAAATACTTTGGTTTTATCCCCTGTATCAGTATGTATGAAGTTTGAAGTAAATTTAACTTCATGCCAAGTGCCAAGGTTTGTTATACTTATTTGTTCCTGTAGTATAATATGGTTATCATAATTTTTTCATTTAAGTTTGAATAATGTTTTAAAAACTAAAACAAATTCAATTTTCTATACCTTCCTATGTATTGTAGTAGATCAAATTAAGCTGACATTTTTTAAAATTTGTAGTGTCAAACTTTTTTCAAAATCTGTGCAGAAAAATATTACTAATAGTTTAATCAGTTACATGGTTTATCTTTTATAGCATTAGTGAAGGGCTTAAAATGTCTAATAGAACAGTGCTACCTTGACTGTGTTACCTTTGCATATGTTACCTGTTGTGAGATATTTGTGATTACTGTATTTAACATCAGCATTTTAAAGCAGAAGAAGTTCTTTTGTACCTACAATCTATTGTTCCAGCTGCAGTTCCTGTAATAAAGATACGGTAGTTGAAGTGGGAGGCCAGAATTCTCTTACCTGAGATTTGCATTGCTTTAACACTCTTGAAGTCAGTACAGGTAATGATGTATCTGAGAGCCATCTGGCTCCTGCTGCACATACTGTGATACACTATTTCACTAATAATTCAGTTTAATAAGGTCATTTTATAGCCATCACAAAACTTTTGTAGCTGTTGCTTTGAGACAAAAGTTCCTGAGATTTGTTTTGTATCAGAATATTTTACAGAGCATAACTGGGGAAAAAAGTGTCATAACTGGCTGAAATTGCAAATCATAAAAATTTTAACATGATAATAATTTTGGAAATGTTATAAAAATATGATTCATGGATGTCTTTAAAAATTGTGGTGTGACACCCAACTGATATAGAGCATCCTATTTATAATGTGGGCCAAGCACCATGCTGTAAACCAGTTACTATCATGATGATCAGATTGAGAATGAAATTGCATTTCTGTCAATTACTGAGTTGGCAACTGTTCAATATATCTTAGCAGCAAGATGAAGAGCGACGTCGGCAGCTGAGAGAGAGAGCTCGTCAGCTAATAGCAGAAGCTCGATCTGGAGTGAAGATGTCAGAACTTCCTAGCTACAGTGAAATGGCTGCAGAAAAGTTGAAAGAAAGGTCAAAGGCATCTGGAGGTGAGTTAAGGAACCTGGTATCTTATTCCTATGGTAACCTAGAAACCAGAGAAGACCTTTTTGGGTGTCACTTTTATTCACACTTCAAAATGTTGTTGTAGGTAATTGTTGTTCATCAGGTACTCATATCAAAAGACCAGCTATGGATATGTTTTCCAAATCAGGGCTATATCACTTAAATTCAAACAGCTAAAAGAACAGTCCATATGTTACAGGAGGAATATTGCCATATAGGTAAGAACTGTTGGCTTATATTAGTCTATTATTCAGGTTTGACTTTACCCCTAAATTTTCAGAATTCCATTAAGTATTAGTCATATGGAAATTGTGTGGCTAAAGTCCGCTGCAGTCCTTGAAAAATGTAGGATTATGAATGTAACCTGTGGAACAAAGTGTATGAGAAAGATTTAAGAAACTTTACTTTTTAATTAAACTTATTAGTAAAGTTATTTTTAGGAACATTTTAAAGAAGTCCTCTGGCATTAAATTGTTTTTATTCATTGTAACCTGGGAGGTATGAGCAATAACCTTTTGATTTTAAATGGCAGTGTTTTGACATACCACTTGCCTTTACAATTTTTAGTTGTAATATTACTGTAATATTATTAAATGGACTTCAAAATGTCATTAAATTTCATATACCTGCCAGCGCTACAAGCAGGAGTAATGTAGTGTCACTCAAGCTCAAATGGGCACTGAACACATTTCAACATAGGCATCTTGCTCTTTTAGCATCTCCTACATATGTGAAGGAGAAATTATTTTTCTTATACAAACTGGTAATTGTAAGTGCAAGAGTCGGGTAAATTCAGTGTTACGTTTATGATGTTGCATGCAGGTTCATTTACAACATGTTTTCTTCTGTTTTCAGTACATTTTTAAATATATTCTTTTTAGATGATTTTACAACTGATTTGCACTCCAGACCTACTCTCTTCTCCATTTAATACTGAGGCTGGGAATGGCTGGAAAGCATCTGAATATGTCCAGTTAGATCGGATCATCAGCTCTCCTACTCACTGGGTGAATGCAGCATGCCAAGATGCCTCCTGTTGGGGGCTGCTGTTCAGCTCTGCATTCACCATAAGCAGGAAAAATAAGGCCTTAATAGAAATAAGGAATTTTAGCTGTAAGATACAAGAGTAAGATCCCTTAGAAGTATGTACTGCTAGTTGCTTCCTTTTTCTAACATATTCCATACACTGATATTAAACACTATGGGGATATTCAAACCTGATTAATGCGGGTGCTACTTCCATGCCTGTGTGTCGAGTTCAATGATGGCATGTGCATAGTACTGTAAGTTACATTCTGAGTTTCAGTTGGCTAGAAATCAAAAGTCACATGGTAAAGTAAGGTAAATATCAACCAATACTCTACTTCAGTGTTTATCACTCTTAATCCTGCTTTATTTTATTAGCTCCACACTGATATTATCCCACTATATTCTCCAGTTGCTTTTCCTGCTGCAATTTCTCTTTCCCCTTTAAGTGGGAAGAGAGACCTTGTATTGAAGATGCTCTGGATGCCCAGTTGGTTTCAAATTACAGTGTTTTCTCTTTCACCTACATTCTAACCACATTAGACCCTAATATCAGTTGATGTAAAATGACTCGTTAGGCACTTTTCCATGTGCCCCGATGCATTCTGATTAGAACGCATTGAGGCTGACTCGATTAATCGAGTCTCCTGGAACATTCTAATCAGAACAGTTCAGCATGCTGCAGTGTCTCATGTATTCAGTATCTCTGTGTTTCAAACTGGCATTGACTGAGCTTGAGTTAAAGCACCCCCACCATTTTGAAAAGTGGGATGGTGAATACACGAGATGCTGCGGGCATTTTAATTAAAGTGACTCCTGAGAGCCACTTTGTTTAAAGTACCACCCCTCCCCCCCACACACCATCCTGGAGCACATGTATAGGTGCCCTTTGTGTTTAAAATTCCCATTATAGGCAAACTCTTCCATAATCTATAAGCTCCCTCAAAGATTATTTTGAATTTGATGTCAGCATAAATAGTCCCATAGTATTTGTGTTCTTTTCTTCCAGTACCATAATTGAGCAGGAGTTACCAGGACACCAAGCTTTTGTGTTGACTAGGATGGGTGGAGTAGGAGGGATCAAAAAATAGCAGCCAGCACACTGCTGCTCTGCCAGCAAGACAACTACAGATGTTGCTCCATGCACCACTACCACCCAGGGTACAGCACTGCCAGTTACTCCTCTGCTTTATTTTCATCAGAACATTCTGAATCCCAGTAAAGCTAGGAACAGACATCACGTTTGTCCTGGAACGAGTTGTGTCTGTGTTTGTCCTGGAACATAAAAGTGCCAGGATTGGCATGCGTACACATCACCCTTCCAAACAACGTTTAGCGAGCAGCTGGATGCAGTGCTGCCTTTCTGCCATTGATTCAATAATGCAGTCCTGGGACAACCATTCAGATGCGTTTTGTGATGTTCCAGGACAAACTGTTAGTACTTAGGGTTTGTCCCAGGACAGCAGACAAAGATGTATGATCATGCTCTGTCCCAGTTTCTCCTGGGACAAATGTATTGTCTATTTGTAGCCTGAGAACAGATTTTTTCCTTCTTTTTTTACTCTCAGTAAAAACCTAGGATGAAATTCTGCTCCACTGACTTCAGTGGGACTAGAATTTTACTCCAAGTTTCTTTAAATTTTCTAAATAATTAATTTTTTCAAACTTCTTAAATCATCTTCTATTTTGTCATAATCTCCATAATACTTGATACCTCTAGGTAAAAACACATGACATTTGAAGCTGTTCTGATTGATCTAAATGTAGCTTTTCCCTAGAATGAATTGTAATTAACTTTATTTAGCTATGATTGTCCCAGGAAAAAATGATATTTCAGATCCTTCAGAGATACTTTAAGTGGGACAGTAGGCTTATATATCTGTAGTATCCCAAGATAAAAGGGTTTCTTCTGGGGGAAATCTCATATCTGTTTTTATTCTCTGTTTATTCTGCACTGTGTCTGCTCTTGCATTCTATTGTTTTCCAGCATTTGCATAGAATTTTAAAGCAAGATCCTGCGCCTTTTAAGTCCTGTTGAGTATTAACTCACTGCATGTGTGCTCCCACAGATTCCAGTGTGACTAATTGCAGTGGCATTACTCAACATGAATAAGGGAGTCAGAACTTGGTCTATACAGTTTATAACACCATAACAGCTCCTCTTCATTGCCAACAGTATTTTGACTTGTCTGACTGGCTAGCATATTTTCTGTTTTAATGAGGTTGGGATATAACCATAATGTTATATTCTCTACATTGATTTCCATATAGTAGTCTGTCCAAGTTAGTTGCATTTTTGTTGTACTTTTATGTTTTGTTGTCTATGCACTCTGATTTACCCTTACTCTTGTTCTGTCTTTGTGCAAATTGTCTTACTTTCCTTCATCTTCATTCTTTCAAAAAAACCCTTCTTTCTTTTGCTCATAGCACATATTCAACCACCTTCTCATTCTTGCATTTCAGTATTGATAAATTGTTGTAGATTTCCAAGCCAGTTCTGTATTCACAAAGCTCCTTCTATATTGGAACAGTTTTGGGAAAGTAAGATAATATTTTTTTTAATCCAAGTAAATTACAGCATAGATATGGGTGCACAAACAAGTTAGCTTGAGGTAAGATAGGGTGGGAACTTACAGTTTCAGCCATTCCACAGTAACTGGCTGTGCATGCATTCTTATCCCACAGTGGGTACATCTATACGTGTGCTTAACTGCACATTAGACTAATTTGCTGTGGTGTACAGCATCACAGCCTGTACATGCGATGCTATTAGATTGCAGCAAACTAATTTTCATCACTTATTTTCACTATCAGGGACAGCAAAAATAACTGCGCCTAAATGCATGTGTAAACGCTGACCCGGGCATACATTGCACCTGGTCAACCCAGGCAGACCCCTTCCTGCTGCCTGCCACAGGGCTCTGCAATTTGGAGCACACTCATGTCCCAGCCAGCCCCTCTGCCACCCAATATCACCTCCCGGAGCCTGGGGCTGACCCCCCAGGTCCTCTGCCAGCCCAGGGCTACTCTGCCCCAGCTCAAACTGCTACAGTCCCGTATGCATGTGCACCCTGGACCGCAGCAGTCTAAGCATCTACACATGCCATTAAAGTGGGATAAACTCTGGTGCACCAGAGTTTATCATGTTGCCTTAATGATATGTGTTGATGCACCCGGTAAGAGCATGGTAGTTTAACCCTTCATAGTTTCATGGTAGCTAGGGTCAGGAAGGACCTGAACAGATCATCTAGCCTGGCCCCCCTGCCACAGGCAGGAATGAATGCTGGGTTCACAAGACCCCAGACAGGTGATCATCTAACCTCTTTTTGAATTTACCCAAGGTAGGGATGAGGACCACTTCCCTGGGAAGTTGATTCCAGATTCTGGCCACCCTAACTGTAAAATATTGCCTCCTGATCTCTGATCTAATCCTATTTTCCATCAGTTTATTACCATTGTTCCTCGTCACCCTGAAAGTGAAGTGAGATACCTTGTATTTGCTACAGGGAAAGAACATGCACCCAGGCACTTAGCGCAAAGTAGCTGATTATCTCTCACAGTAACTTGTTCATGTGCCCACACATTGTCTCCATTGCTTTTTCTTTTAACTTTCCTCAAAATTCCAGATTTAATAGGCTAGATCTTGTGAGTACATTCTGAGTACTACTCTGAGTTCTGTTACGTTTGCATGTGTTCGGTTTTTGTTTGTAGTAATGGATTCCCTATACAATACCTGAAGTCAAGCTTATAATACTTTTCTACAATTTCTATAGATCTCTTCTTACTATGTGTTTAATTAGCTTCTCTCTCACTCCATCTCAGCTTTAAGAAAAAAATCTTACAAGACATTTAATGATTTCTTTTCTCTTTATTTGTTTCTTTTTTTTAAAGTGCTTTATTTCTTGTGTGTCCATTTTGCAGATTACTTTCTTGCTCATTTTTGTCAGTGAAACTCTAA